TTGCATGGGGTTGTTGTGACCCAAGTGCAGGACCCAGCACTTGGCCTCGTTAAACCTCATACAGTTGGCCTCGGCCCATCGATCCGGCCTTTCCAGGTCCCTCTGCAGAGCTTTCCTACCCTCAAGCAAATAGACAGTCCTACCCAATTTGGTGTCATCTGCCCAATTTCGTGTCATGTGTCGTAAACATCTTACCTACACTCATGATATTACACATTTCCTCATCCTATTGCCACAGTGGTCTCTTTCGCAGACTGACGATTTCTAATTGGCTTAGTTGTCCCTGTTATGGAAACAGTTCCATATATTGATTAGCCTTGTTATCCCTTTTGAACCCTTTCAGTTCTGTATGTTTGAGGTAAGCTGAACATGCTATTTGAAGGGTGATCTATGTATTTCTGTAGTGACCTAATGATTCTCTTTATTTTGTTTTATATTACTTTCCTTATCATAATGCAGTAATGCACAATTTGTCATTTGCTTTTTTGACTGTTGCTGAATGTTGAGTTCATAGATTCATGAATCTGTGAACCATAGCTCCAGGATCTTGCTCCTGAACAATAACGATATGCTCAGAGCTTCTTATTTCATATATAAGTTTATGGTTGTTTTTTTCCCATTTATTTATACTGAATTTCATTTCTCATTTTATTGCGCAGTCATTAAGTTTCATAGGGTCCTAGCTGTGATGTCAGGAACACGCCATTCTGTCTGTGTTGTATAAGCCTCCATGCTGGGAACTGGGTTTATGCAAATGCAGCCTAACAACATGCCAGGTAGCACTGCTGAAGAACAAGCATCCTATTAAAGCATGTAATTTAGGGTCCTTGTCACGATCTGGGTTGCCTTGGTTTATTATCTCTGGAATTAATTACTTTATAAACACTTTGAACGGCTGAGCATGTGTTCTAGAGACACTTTGTTAATTAGGATTAAGACGACCAGGCTTATGTCTTGAAGGCAGTTGACCAAGATTTAGGGGTTCCCGATAGGGGATCTGTTTGGTGCAAACACAAATTTTAAGTTTTTGTATCTCTCATCCCTCAGCTGGGTGGTTCAGGGTTATTTCTGCATATGTTCTTGGTTTTCTGGTCAGGAAAGTCAGTATGTGTATTTAATTTGATTCTAGGGTTGTTGCACTAGGTCAGACAGAAGGAAGCACTCTGTCTGCTTGGTACGGCCAGACTTAAGGAGCTTCAGCAGTAAGATCTCTGTCACTTGTTAAATCAAAGAGGTTAACGGGATGCTCCCATTATGAGCATAATGAATTCTCCTTCCCAGTCGTTGTACTTTAATTCCTGAAATCCAGTATTTCCCTGATTCTAAATGGGGAAAGAATAATAGCTGGTCTTTCTGGATGGCATTCTAAATGGTAGCTTGTTTGTGGGAAGCAGTCTTTTAAAAAAGCTACTGTTACGTGGGGTAGTGTTTTGCAAAGTTAATGAATTAATCTCCAGTGAGTACTTCATTACGTACAATGTTTGTGTTCATTCATTCTGTGTATAGGGAACCTAAAGACAGGTGTGAGAATTTTTAAATTCATAAACTCATCAAAGGAACTAATTAATTACATGCTAAGAGAGAAGCAAATCTATGCCTTAAGTCTTTTCTTCCCTTCGCTGGGGGAGAAAAGGTTGCAGAGAAATAATGACATGTTTCTAAAAGCTGTGATCTTGAATATTTTTTAATATTGGTATACAAAGTCATTGTATGTTTCATACTCACTTTGTTGCTTTTCTGTTTAAATGGCTAGATTTTATCTTCTTAAAAATGTTCCTACACTTATATAGCATGTAGACAATATATTTCTTTGTTAGAATGATACTCTTCTTAAAAATGTTCCTACACTTATATAGCATATAGACGATATATTTCTTTGTTAGAATGATACCAGGTTTGGAATTTAAATGTAGTCTTGACAGGTTGCTGAGTTGCCAGCCGGGTTAAACCACAACACAGGTTTGGAATTTAAATGTAGTCTTGACAGGTCTTCTGAAAAACTAAGTAGCCTAGACGAGTCTATCAGGATAATTGTATTACTGATGATGATGATGGAAGTCCTCAGAGATACTTCAGTATGATCATTTACATGTTACTATGCTTGGTTGTTTTTATTACATTTAATCATTTTCAAAGTGACTTCATTTCTAAGAAGTTTTTTTGTCTCTGCAATTTGAAGATGTCAGTTTTCATTTTGATTGCACTGTTAATCTGAGTAGATGAGTGGTATTTTGGTTTTGGGTTTTCTTTTTTTAACTACAAACGCTTCTGTGTCCTCCATAAATTCGTCACTGTGTTACTTTAAAAATATTCTTAATTTTTGAGAACTTTTCTTACAGAGTTCTTGAATTCCAACGTTAGTGCTTACAGAAGATTAGGTGCCTATTTAGGTAGATAATCTTGTCTCATAATTTGACTGGTACAGGGTGGGGTTTGTTAACAGTACCTAAGTGCTATAGGACCTTGGCCTGTATCAGTTGTACCAGCCATTGTACAAGCATGTGGGTAAGACGTGTTTCAGACCCCAGGTCTTTGTAATGTAAATAGGTAAGACAGACATGAGGCAAACAGCAGTAAATTTGTGATTGGCACATACAGGCTAATTGACCTGCTATCCTGTTACGCAATTTCCTTGCTGAGGCACTTTATTTTAACTTCTAATGTAGTGTGCATAAATAATCTGTAGTCTTGGATTGTGAATTTCTTTACATTTCATTTGCTCCCTTCCATTGTATTGACCCTTATTCTAAATTTAACTTCCAATTCTAGTTTAGTTAGTTCACCCACTTCAGGAAGGAATCCTTACTTATACTGCATTTGCTATTGTTAATTATTATTAATCCTCTTTAAATGTAATAGAGTCCCAAAGAAGTGCTTAGCCTGCTAACGTGTTGTCCCTGCCCTGCTCCTGGGAGCCAGAGAGTTGGTGCATTCTTAGCAGCTTTGCCTGGAGTTCTGCTACCTGTGGTCTCTCGTGTAATAGTCTTAAGCGTGTTTTTAAGAGAGAGAAGGAACTGCATCTTAATGCCCACCTGTAGTGTGAAGTGGATTATATTGCCTGAAACTTTATCTGCTCTTGTGTTATTCCCCTCTTTGTTGCAGCACACAGCAAGTTTCTAGAATTCTGCCTACTTTCAGCAGAACACAAGCCTTTTTTCTATGGAAAAAAAAAAAAAAAGGCTTATTCTGCTTTGGCAAGCATACTCTCTCCTATCTTGAGTTGTTTTTTTCTCTTTTTTTGCATGCTGAAAACACTTTAAAACTGTTACAGTATTCTTAGGAGAGGTTGCCTACCAAGGGGCTTTTTGTTTTGAAATTTCTATCAGGCAATGGATTGACAAAATAAATAAATGA